AGGGTTTAGGGTCTAGGGTCTGGATTTCAGGGTTTTGGGACACGCATCAATGAAACAAGCTTTTGGGCAGCGTCGACGAATCAAAATGTTCGCTTTAGGCGCTGACCAAAGCCCTCAAACTCCCCCATCACACTTCCCTCGACCAGAAAATCTCGAAGTCTCATGCTAACACTACAAAACCCTGTCAACCCTATAGATCCTACCTAGAAAGCCAGCTACACATAATTGTACGCAATTTTCCCCTAAGTTCCTATTACTTTGGGTTAATATAGCCCATTACTATGGGTAGCTAGCCTGTCTAGGCCGACTATAAGCCCTACAGCCACAGTAGACTGGGATGTCAAGCATCCGAAGCGGTCCATCAACGCCTCGCCGACCTCACAGCAAGAAAGGGATACTTTTGGGCTTAGTGCTTGGCCTTGGGGTCCGAGGGTTTGGCTTGAGGCTTTAGGGTTTGGGTTCAGGGTTAGGGTTAAAGGTTGGGGGGGCTAGAATTTATAGGCTTACGTTGGGTCAAGTCCCCACGCAGTTATGGGTACCACAAGATCCTAGTACTTCAAGGGGGATTGACCCAAGGTGTATGGTTTAGGGTCAGGGGTACAAGGTGGTCTGGGAGCGGAGGGGTGTTGAGGGATACTGGGCGTAGCGTTTAAGGACTCTAGGCTCAAGGTTTAGGGGTTTACGCTTGCAGGTTTGGGATTTAGGGTTTAAGGTTGTTTAGGGTTTTACGGATGCGGGTTTGGGATTTAGGGTTTTGGATTTAAGGTTTAGGGGTTTACGGTTGCGGGTTTGGGATAAAAGGGTTCGGGACTTCGGCACTCCATTGTCTTTTCCATCCCTACCTTCCCTACTATAGACGCTAAACAGAACATATGGTTGGTTGTCAAAATTATGGTCCCTTTTTGGGTACCCTAAATATTAGGGGCTGTATTATAATAGGGACCCAAAAAAAGACTATAATTTTGACAACCACCCATATGGTAGCCTTCATTTTCTGTTACACCCCCCTGGTGCAGGTTACCCGCCCAAGCCCTCACCATAAATCCTCCGCCCCAAGCCTGGACAACTCTTAGTTTCTGCCCTTGCCTCTTCAGCCAGCGCATCCGAGGAAACGAGCGCCTGCGGGCAGATACAGTAAGACATCAATCAGAATACGCCTGTGGCTGCTACAGAGGGATGCTGTCAAAGACAGCCAAGGAGGAAGGCATCATGTGAGCATGGCAAGGCACCCTTGACTTTTTGTGCTTGCAGTCCATCATCTGCATCAGGTTTTTGCCAGCTTCGGCATCCTGTACAGTGAGCCGAACCTGGTCTTTGCTGCATGTCTATGCACTTGCGTACCAACGGCTGCAGTACGAACACCCTAGTCGACCTCCTCCATCTTGGAGGCCTCATCGGCTGCGCCCTCGACTTCCTCAAGCGGGGGCAGGTCATCGTCGTCGCCCAGGCCCTCGTCATCGTCGTCGATGCTGAGGCCGAGCTTGATCATGCGGTGGATGCGGCCGGCGAACTGGGTCGGCTCATCCAGGTTGAAGCCGGAGGTGAGGAGCGAAGTGTCGAAGAGCAGCCAGATCAGGTCCTTCACCGTCTTGTCAGACTTGTCTGCAGCAGCCTGCCATCTGGGGTGGGGTGCACATCTCGGGGAGGCTTCCACCCCTTTCAAACCAAAGGATCCACGTAAGCCCCACCAGCCTTCTTCTTGAGCTCTGACATGATGGAGTGCTTGGGGTTCACCTCCATGGTCTTCTTGGAGACCATGTAAGACGTCATGGAGTTGTCACGGAGGGCCTGGGCCTTCATGATGCGCTCCATGTTGGCGGACCATCCGTACTCCGAGGTGGTCAGCACGCAGGGCGAATCTGCCATCCTAGAAGAAACCTTAGCTGACTTTAGGACACATCCTCCAACTGAACACAACTTAAGGCTTGGGGCTTAGGATGAAACACTTGCCCTACATACTGCAAAGAGCCAGACACCCCCAAACATTGAGGTTCTTAGAACCAGAGAAACGATCACCTTCTCCACCTTGTCTCCCAAGACCTCCTTCATCCTCAGGCTGTCGGACAAGTTCCAATGTTCCAGGGTTGTACCATTAAGGTCGTACTCCTAAAAGGCTCCCTTAACCTGACCCCTATATCACCCTTATATGAACTATAGTCGAAACTTCTAAGAGAGCATTGATTATGTAGGGGACGACTATAGGGCTTAGTAGCGCGGATACTAAGAGTTAAGACCGTAGCTTACATGAACCAGTGCAGTCTTCTAGGTTTCCTCCAAAGGACAGTGGTAAAATTCTAGGGTACTGGTTGTGGAAGAATAGAACAAACCAACCTGCTGCTTGTTCCATATGAACCCTGGACAAATTCTTTAGTATATGCCTTAATAGGTCCCCCAAGACCTTATATATTCCCCTATGGGTCCCCCCAACCTACATTTAGTCTGTAGCTCATATGGAAATTTCCCGAAGGGTGGATCCCTGGGTAAACCTTAAATCGCTGTAATCCCAACAGAGGACTCCGATTTTTCCAAACTTTCTGGATCCCCATATACTCCCCTACAACCCTATTAAAGTGTAGAAATCTACATGGGTTTAGAGTATTGTATATATATGAAGAACCAGGAAACCAGGAATAAAATTGCTTCCAAAAATTGACCAGCATCAACTTGGTCAGAGGCTCAAACTCGGCTTTCATCTCCTCGGGAATTATCAAAACAGCCATAAGGGTTTAGGGTTTAGGGTTTAGGGGTTTAGGGGTTTAGGGTTTAGGGTTTAGGATTTAGGGTTTAGGGCCCCAACAAGCTCTAATCCCTAAACTCTCGGGTACTATCTTAAACCCTAAACCCTAAACCGTAAACACTAAACCGCGTGGCTGTGCTTTAGGGCCTGGGTTACTCCTAGAGTTGTTCGGGATATATGGGGATTCTACGAAGGTTCTAAGGATCCCCCGACAGGGAGTAGAGCTAAGCCGAAAACCTAAATCCTAAGCCCAAACCTTAAAACCTGAACCCTGAACCCTAAACCCTAAATCCTAAATCCTAAACCCTAAACCCTAAATCCTAAACCCTAAACCCATACATAGGCGTAATTTTGAGACACACCCGCTCCTCCAGCTTCTTCTTCTCATCCTCGTCCTCGATGTCCAAACCTTCCTGCGAACTTTTTGCCAACGGGGTTTGAAGGGCGGTGAAGGGTTTAGGGTTTAGGGTTTAAGGAATTTGGGGTTTAGGGTCTTGGGGTTTAGGGATTGGGGCTTAGGTTAGAGATTAGGGTTTAGGGTCTGTTTTAATTGCCGTCTTGGGCTTCGGCTAGGGCTCAGAGTTTATTTGGTGGCCCAACGGACACGAGGGGAGGCATTATAAAAGATGATAGAGGTCTGTCTCTTGGGAATCCTTACCCTAACACCTAAACCCCAAACCCTTAAAGGTTTAGGGTTTAGGATAACAGACCCCTCGGCCCTAAACTCGAGTTGGATGAATTTGAAACCCCAGCCTTGGTCGTGGACTTCAGCTTCTTGCCGTCAAACTCCTTCAGCTGCTGCACGGAATACCTGGCTGGCGGCGAGTACTGTTGATATTAGGGTTTAGGGGTTAGAGCTGGAGGATTAGGGCTTCAAGGTTTCGAGCTCTTAGTATCAACCGTAGGGAATGGAAAAGTTGAAAAAGGAAGTGGAAGCTCCCACGGCGGTCTCGAGGGAGCTACTGCAGAATTCAGGATTTGGGTGGGTAGCATAAAATGGAGGAATGGGGTCTAGTGCTTGTTTTAAAAGGATTGTAATTGAACAGCTGTGAGGATTCACTGCTTCTCTCCGTACTAAACGCGAATGAGACACTCATCTACAGGATCGATCATGTACAGCACCTCGATGCCCTTCTTGCGAAGGGTCTCCAGGAAAGGAGAGGAGGAGACCGCGGCAATGCTCTCGCCTGTGATGTAGTAGATGTCGTTTTGGCCCTCCTTCATACGGTCGACGTACTCCTTCAGGCTGGTTTGGTAATTTCCCAAAGTAAGGGGACCTTATTGTAGACCCCAAAATGCTATGACCCTTATTATCATGGGGACCCACAAAATACTCCTTCAGGCTGATCTGCTCGTCTCCAGACTTGGATGTGTGGTAACGCAGCAGCTCGGCCAACTTCGTTCGGTTGGTGGAATCCTCGTGGACACCCAGCTTCAGGCACTTTCCGAATTGTTCATAGAACTTCCTTGGCAGGGGGCGCAGGGGAGAGGTTAGGGTTTGGAAGTTTGGGGTTTAGGGGTTTAGGGGTTTGGGGGTTTAGGGGTTTAGGGTTGGGAAGCCTACCGCAGTCAAAAACAGAACTTGCAAAGCTGCTTTGTCCTGTCCTGCTGAAAGCATACGAGCTACAAGTACAAAGTCAAGTCTCTTGTAGTCGTCCTTCTTCTCCGCAATCTCTGCAAACATCTCGAGGCACTTCTTGACGAGATTCTTCTTGATGACTCGCAGGATCTTGTTCTGCTGCAAGGTCTCACGGGAGATGTTCAGAGGCAAGTCCTCCGAATCCACAACGCCCTTCACGAAGTTAAGCCACTCCGGCATCAGCTCCTCACTGTGATCCATGAGTGTCACTTTGTAACCCGACATGGCCCTTGCTGCCGGTGCCCTGCATTACAGTAGTACGAGACGGGCAACGGTCTAGAGAGCACTTGTAGCACTATGGTAGGGGCGATGGTAAAGTGTTCCTGAGAGTTCCCGAAACGACGGGCGCAGAGAGTACGACAGTAACCCTAAAGTCTGAAGTAGATGCGACGGCTCCTCGCAGTCGTCCATGATGAAGACACGGCGCACATAGAGCTTGATGTTGTTGCGCTTCTTCTTGCTCTCGAAGAGGTCGAAGGGCGCCCGGCGTGGGACGAACAGCAGAGCCCGGAACTCAAGCTGACCCTCCACGCTGAAGTGCTTCACAGCGAGGTGGTCCTCGGGTTTGGGGGTTGGGGTTTGGGGTTTAGGGTTTAAGGCTTAGGGTTTAGGGTTGGTCCTCCCAGTCATTGGACAGGGACTTGTAGAAGGAAGCGTACTCTTCGTTGGTGACATCCTCGGACTTGCGCATCCAGAGTGGCTTGTTCTTGTTCAGCTGCTCCCACTCGTGCGAGACCTCCTTCACCTTCTTGGTCTTCTTCTTCTTCTCTTCCTTCTCCTTCTCCTCGTCGACTTCCTCGATCTTGGGCTCATCGCCCTCCTTCTCATCCTTCTTCTCCTCTTCCTCCTCCTCAGAGTCGGTGACCTCCTTCTCCTTGGATTTCTCCACGTACAGCTCGATGGGGAAGCCGATGAACTCGGAGTGCTTCTTCACCAAGTCCTTGAGACGTCGCTCCTCCAAGAACTCAGATTGGTCCTCCTTGAGGTAGCAGATGATCTTCGTGCCGCGCTTGATCTCGCCGTGCACGAGCTCCGTGTCCTTCTGAACGGTGAAGGAGCCTCCAGCGCCACTCTCCTTACTCGTGCTGTAGCTGGGAGAGGGGAAACGTGTCGTAGAGGTCATTCTAGGGGAAAAACTACAATTTGGATCCAGCCCCCACAGCTAGCAACTAAGCATGACTAAGTGTCCCAGATGTATTGTTCATCATCATTGTGCTTGCTCACCACACGGACCTTGTCGGAGACAAGGTAGGCGCTGTAGAAGCCGACGCCGAACTGGCCGATCCTGACCCAGTTGTTGGCGTTCCAAAAAGATCCAAGAAAACATTCAAGCACTTTTTGGGAGCCCGTACACTAAGGATGATAGCTAAGAGGGAACTCTTTCTTTGGGATTTTGGTATTGAAAAGCTGCAAACGATACTCGACTGTACTCAGAAGCATGGAAATGTCGCCACCAGCAGCCATAGCCTCCATAAAGGCTTTGGTGCCAGACTTGGCGATTGTTCCTTGGGTTGCTGTTAAGGGTTTAGGGTTTAGGGTTTAGGGTTTAGGGTTCAGGGTTTAGGATTTAGGGTCATATTCTGGGTATATAGTAAATATGATGGGGCTTCCATGCTAAAGTAACTTCAATTAAGCTCCTTAGCAGTATCCCAGGTTCCCAAATTATTGATCAACTCATTCTTGGTCATACCAATGCCGGAGTCTTCGATGGTCAGGGTCGAGTTGGTCTTGTCTGGAATGATCCTGTGCTGACTGGTGGACTTTTGGAACCGTGCCAAAACATGAGCTGTTATTTCTACGTGGTAGGAAGCCTAAACCATAAAACCGACAATCCCTAAACCCTATGATCCCTAAACCTAACCCCCATCCTCATCCCGAAGCCCTCCACACCCCATTTTTGGGGGAGGGAAACGAAACCCTCCACCCCCCATTTCTCGGGGGGAAATTGAAATCCTAAGAGCCAGGTTAAGGCCAAGACGCTTGATGAAGAAGTTTGGCTGCGCCTGGCCAGTTGTTATCTTTGTACGGTGTCTTTGTTCGTTGATCGCCCTAAATCCCAAACAAAACAAACCGCCCTATATAGTCACCATATAATTGCAACTACCTTAAGGCCCCCGCTCACACTTAAGTAACATTAAGCAAAAACAACTTTCTACGCCCCAACCCCCACACCCTAATCCCTAAACCCTAATCCCTAAACCCTAAATTTCAAAACAGCGCCTCGATCTTGTCTGGATCGGTGATGGACTCATACCTTACAGTTTGGGGCTTTCAGAATCCCTAAACCCTAAACCTACCCAAGCCCCTCAATCCCTAAACCCGAAGCCTACCCAAACCTCTAATCCCTAAACCCTAAACCCACCAAAACCTCTAAGCCCCTAATCCCTAAACCCTGAAACTACCCAAACTCCTGCACCCTAAATCTACCCAAACCCTAATCCCCGAATCTCTAAACCCTAAACCCACCCAAACCCCTAAACCCTAAACCCCCTTAACCCCAAATCTCTAAACCCTAAGCACACCCAAACCCCTAAACCCCCTTCACCACCCAAACCAGTGAATCCTAAACCTCTGACAGGTTACCGAATCTTGTCCAGAGCATCAGAGGCGTTGGAGATGAGCTCACGCAGGAAGATCTCCTGTTGTGAAAGGTTGCTGGGGGCTTAGGGTTTAGGGTTTAGGGTGGATCCTAGGGTCCTCACAAACCAACTAAAGACCCTATGAACCCCACAAACCCAACTAAGGGCCCTGCCTAGGATCCGGGAAACAGGTGGGAGCCTATCTTAGGGGCCCATGATTGGAACTAAATCCTTAACCCCGAACCCCATATATCCCTATACCCTTCTTTTAAAAGTTCCTATGGCCCAAGGCTCGATCCTTGTTGGAGTAGAAGGTGTTGATGATCAAGCCTGGGTCAGTGGATTAAGGGCTTAGGTTGAGAAATTCGGAGTCTGGGGCATTAAGGAGTACAGGAATAAAGGGTTTGCGGTCAAGGTTGAAGGTTTGCTTGGATGTTCTTGAGCTACCTTTGAGCCCTAAACCCTGAACCCTACACCCTAAAGCCTAAAACTTGGTATATACACAGGATCGCTATTCTATACTAGGGTTCAAGTATACAAGAAGATGTAAAGCGCGCCTTAGCCCCGGCACAGATTGAGGCTTCGATAACCCAGGGAGCCCAATACCGATACCCCTTAATTAAGGAAGAAGCCTTAAATCACATTAAGGGTCCTAGTATAATTTAGGGTATATTCCTTAATTAAACTATTTTGGGCTCTCCGGGAAATAGAAAGATTCCGGCCCCAAAACAGACACCCTGTAAAAGTCATATGCTTGGCATAGTGATCGGCTCCTTGTTTTGAGGTTGGGGTACCCAAACCCAGAGATTGCCTGATATGCGTGCCTATATGACCCTACATGACCCCGGTTTCTATCTTATCTTCCAGTTGACTCTCGTAATTGGGGCCATATGCCTAAACCGTAAGTTCAATGTAATTCCTACCTAGACAGCCAGCAGCCCACAAGCACAGCAGATTGTTCCACAAATGGCCTGTGAGTTTAGGTTCAGGCTGCCCTTTAACTCTGTTAGGTAACTAGGCCTAAAGCCTAAACACTATAGAATCCCAATATGTCCCTGTAACTCTCTTAAAGGAAAATGAACCTGGCTCGTCTCATTCAGCTTGAGCCATGTGGATACCTAAAGAATCTGGGACGTCATCCCTGCATAGTCTACGCAAGGCTTAGGGCTTAGGGTTTAGGGTGTAGGGTTTAGGGTTTAGGATTCACGGTTTAGGAACTAGGGTCTAGGGTTTAAAGGGTCTAGTGGAAAGGGTTCAGGTGCCGAGCCAAAGTGGAAGGCCCCACGTTCTCATTCTAGAAACCCTGAACCGGAAACCCTGAATATCAATGCATGCTTCCATGTAAGCCTAGGCAATCCGGTATCTATTCCACCTTTGAAGGCCTCTTCAGTACTTCAACAGAGACGCAAAATTATGAACCCTAAACCCTCATCCCAAAACACTAAACTCAAAAACCCTTAGCCCAAACCCAAACCCTCACCCGAAGCCCTAATCCCTGAACCCCAAACCTAAGCAATAAAACCTGAAACCTATAAACCCGAAACCCTAAATCCTTGAACCTCCCCTCCCCTCCAAACCGAAGCTGATCTAGAAGCTCATCAGCTGCTGGATATCAGCATTGAATGCGAAGGTCTCAGCCATCGTACCAGGCCTTGGAAATTTCAGACAAGGCTCCTTCAACTAGGGTTTAGGGTTTAGGATTTGGGCGCTGAAGGTTTAGGGTTCAGGGTTTGGGGGCTTAGGGTTTGGGGCTTAAGGTTAAGGGTTCAGGGTCGGGGTGTAGGATTTAGGATCTAGGGCTTAGGATTCAGGATTCGGGGTTTAGGATTTAGGGTTCAGGGTTTAGAGCGTAGGGACTACAACCATAGGGTCCTACGTTTAAATATGGATGTAAAGGGGGCATATGGGACATGTAGGTACATGTATATATATATATGCGCATGGACATACACGGCTCAGGGATGTATATTGGGCTTTGCCGCTGAGGGTTCGGGATCCAGGATAATCCCCTCCCCCTAATATTAACCCCCCTCTAATATTGAATATGCTCAAAGTACTATAGTATACCACATAACGGGGAGCATTTAAGGTTGAGGGTCGGGGGTTGAATATTAGGGGGAGGGATTAAGGGCGTAGGCCTTCGGGTTTGGGTGGGTTTGCGACTGTAGGCTCTATGGCCTGGGTTTGGAAGGATTTAAGTGAATCATAGGTTCCGCTACTACCCCCCCCATAATACCCCCCTAGGTTCCACTCGTAATTAAGGTCATTCAGGGATGATTAGGCCGAATTGAAGTTGATTAAAAGGGAACCTGGGGGTAGTATAGAGGGGGTAGTCGGGGAACCCATGAGTTAAGGGTGTACAGTTTCCGCGGTTTAAGGTTTAGGGTTTAGGGTTTAGGGTTTAAGGTCTGGATGCTTGGGGCTTAGGGTTTAGGATTCAGGGCTTAGGGTTTAGGGTGTAGGGGAAGGGCCTTAGCTGACAGAAGTGGAAAGACTGTTTTGAGTGATCAGCCACTATTTGTCTCCGTTTACCCTCACAATGCTGCAACGATTGTTGTTGTAGGTGCCTCTAGTACACCATCAACCCTATATCCCAAACCCTAAACCAGGGGGCAATGTTCCAACTACTCCCAGGGGTTGGGACTGTTCTTGTGGACGTGATGCTGGAAGATGTCTCTCTGTACGCTTCCCTATCAAGACCCAAGTTTAGACGCATGCTCCTGTTTTCTAGGGGCTAAAAAGGGTACAGGAGGAATTTATGGCGTTCAGGGCATGGCCCACTGTAAGCAGGGTTCAAGGCGGAGAACAATTGCGAGAATCTTGCCGGTGGGCTTTATCACTGTACGTACCGCAACCTATGAACCCTCCAAGGAAACCCTGTCGACCCAGAAATTGGGGGGCTTCGAGTGCAACGGTTTACAGTTCGGGAGTCGAGAAGTCTCGGAAATAGTACATTATAATATATTATAGTATATTATAGTATATTTTAATATATTATAGTATACTATAGTATACTATAGTATATCATAATAGATCATAGTATATTAATGGAGCCGCAAGACTTTGAACCCTAGTCGCTCAAACCCTTCACCCACAAGCCGCTGATCACAGAGCGCTTCACCTGTGCAGTCGAAGAGCGTTGGAACCTTTCTAGGATACTCGGATGTCCGTGAAATCAAAACTTGAGCCGACTGGTGCTGCGAATCAGTCAAATGCATGCATGAATTGCCCCCCCAACTCTTGCTGTCGGAAGGTCATAAAGGCCATGCTTGCTGTTCTCGCGTTTGCACGTAACGGCATGAACTTGCTTCACAATCCTGCATAGTTCCGGAGCCACAGCCACTTCTGGCTAAGATACAAACAAAGCTCAATCACAAGACCTGCCATAAGCGCACTGACGCACATCATATCATCCAAATGTATCTCCTACATGGCCCCTGTAATCCGCTCAGCAATCCCCAAATTTCTCCTGTGCAACCTTGATTACTTGGAGGCTCTTTTGACTCAGTGAGCCTACCTACGAACTCCAGTAAGCCTGATCATATAAACTGAGCAACCCCTATATATGGGTTATATTGAGGTTATATTGGGGATAATGGAAAAGAAAATGGAAACTACTATAGTATAACCCTAAACCCCAACCCCCTAGTAAAAATAGATTCGCTGAGTCAAGATAGCTTCCAAGTAGGCGCCAAGCACACCAGCCTTGCCAACCTTTGTGGAGCGCTTGGCCTTAACGCGAAACCTGAACTGAGTAGTTTTTGGATGGCTGCACAAAGTAAGGGTAGATTCTTCCCAGGAAATACAATACCTGCAAGGAGCGTCTGGTCTTACTCTTTATTGGGATCTATAGCATCCTCAGTTTAGGTTTACATGTGGGGTTCAGACGGCTACCTTATACAAGGAATATGGAACCTTAATATTGGTAATTATCCCTGAACCCTAAACCCTACCAATACTGGTAATTACTTTGGCTCCTCGGTTTGAGGCCTTGAGGTTCTGGCTTTTGTGGACTTGGGCTTTGGGCTGGAGCTCGGGATTTCAGCGCAGGAATTCGGTTCAAAGGCCCCAAGCGGCTTAGGGTTGCAGTTTGACCCAGAAAGCCGAAT